TATAAAGAGTCTTGATCCTTTTTTGTGCATATTTTTTRTTGAATCTTATGTGAAATTCATTTGATTACAAATCATTTTTTCAATAAATAGGCTTTTTGCAGTTAGTAGTCACGTGACTGTAACTGAAATGGGGAGAAAAGCTACCAAAGTCCTTATATTTCATTACCATCAATTTTCTTTCAAAGTCCTTTTGTTAAACTTGCGATTCATTAAATTCRTTAATTTCTTTTACATCACGTGACTGTAGACTGCAAAGKGCCTATTTGATTGKTTACAAGAATTACATCCTCCTGGTTTAACGTACAATCGTTTGTGCTATTTGAATAATAGAGTGGATTTAAACGTTGAATCGTGCTTTTTTTGAAAGAGCCGCATAGTTAGTGGTTATCCTGTGTCATTTAGTATAGGACCAAAGATAGAGCTCCGTGGTACRCCGTAAGAAATCACCGGTACTAAGTTTATTAGGAAGGAATTCCTACTCCAGAAGGGTTGATTCTGTTTTSTTTTGTGTATACTTATAAAGATAAAGTATATGTGGTAGAAAACGATCTGTTAAATTGCTGCCTTTCTAATTCATTTGACCTGCTAGTTGTTCTTATTTTACGTGTAGGTTAGCCATTGCGATTGTGGTCTATGGTGTGATACTTCATGCGGTGTTTTCACTGCTTATCGCCTTTCCCTGTAAATCATTGATCAAAGATATGCCATGTCAGTAAGATATTTATAAATTTTAATAATTTCACATTGAACGTTATGAGTGAAGCAATATTGCGCGTGCGATGAAATRTATAGGTCTATATCAATAGACGTCAATTCCGGTCTCGTGTGGAATTTGTACCAGCTGAATGGCAAGTTTTCTATGTGCGCATTGTTTACCTTTACTGAAGGTTTTTACTGTCGTYCTACTCTAACCATGAACACTGGAGTTTATTCTATTATATTTTGTGTAAATATACTCATATTTTAGTTACGTTCTCTTTCATCATTTCATCTCCTTCTCCTTCAATAGCTGTTATGAATGTCGCGTTCTAATTGGTTTGGAGCGCGTGCTTTGTAAGAGCACATTGCACCCGCRCGCACTTTCCATTGCGTCATTCCTATCTATTATTGTAATTTGTATTTTATAAAAGAAATTAAAAAAATGGGGATTGGCAGAACACTCGAGAAGTGTACAGAAGCACTCCGCTACGCGTCGTGCTTCTCCTAACACTTCTCTCGTGTTGTGCCAACCCCCGCGTATTTAATGACAGCACGCGCACGCGTTTTCTATTTCTTCAATAAAAACTGGTACATGATGCAAAATGTATATGCTGTGACACTGAATTGGCTTCCCATTGTTTTCTTGTAAATTATCGACCAATCGATACGCATACTTATAGCTACGGTACGGTACGGTATGGCTATTTTTTGATTCGTTTGCCTATCGAACGCCCAAAAAATAAAATATCTCTAACCCTTAACTTACGTTTAAGCTTCAGTAGGCAGAAAACCAACACGACAAGAACGATGATGATGAGAAGCAGAATGAACAACGCCACACCAAGAATGATCAACAACGCTGTAGAAACGGCTGTAGAGGTAAATTGTTATATATTAATTAGCATCAAGATATCATTAATTTATAAATATACTTGTTTGCAAAAAATAGAAAACGCGCTTGCGTGCTGTGTGCAGTTATAATATAAGGCACGCAGGAGTTAGCACAAGATACTTTTTATCTTGGATRGAATSAGCGAAYTCAGAATGTGCGTGCCTGCTGTGTGCTCTCGTAAAGCACACAACCTTTATCAACAAACCTTTTTTATGTTTCTGCTGTGTTCCTTTTTTCTCCTGCTAGATGCGCACTGGAAAAATCATGTACGCGCTCGAAATTGTGCAAATATGTATCTATTTTCAACATATTTTCATAGCATGGAAATATTATAAAAGTCAGCAGAAGTAATGAAMACGCACTTACTTCTCGTGGTTTCATTTCCATGGTATGGAAATATCATGGAACATTTTTTTTCCATACCATAGAATTCAAGAAATGATTTAAAACTGATGGAAGGCACTCCAAAAGTATGGTGATACTTTAAAATCCCTACAAATTGCAACTTCCAACGTATGTCCATGCATTGGAAATATATTGGAAGTTCACATTAGGAGTCAGGGTAAGAATTTATAGGCGTCGTTGCGGTTTTAATTCTGTAAAAATAATCGATCAAAGCCTAGACTAAAACAGCAAACTTTCATTTCTTCTTTCCGGTCCGAATCACTTTTTTACGAGRAAAAATATSGAACTAGCTAAAGAACAGAAATACCTTCACATAAAGTRAAGTCATTAAACCCGTGAAATAGATATCAGACTAACACTTTAGTAGATCAAAATGCCATTGTTTTCTAATAATAATAATAATGTTCGTGTTAATCTTAAAGATCTTTTTACTTACTTGTAGTCGTTTTGTCGGAAGCTGTCGAGACGTCACTTGCCTTAACTGGATTTAAAAAAAA